GAGCAATGCTTCAGAAGGAAAGACTGTTATCAATACCCTGTATGATGCATCACTGAGTTTAAGTGCTTCATATGTACCAACTCATGATCATACATACAGTAGTCTCAATGAACTACCACCAAGTGATTAGTATTGCTAACTGTTTTTACAAAAAAGTAACTAAAATGCACACACTATGAATAGGTAAATGATACATAATCAAAACAAGAACAACAGATCAATATTATTTGAGTCATGATATTTAAAAGGATGTACTAATGATGAATGAAAATTAAAATTACTTGACATAAATCTCGTACATTTTAATAAGAATGTCTTCATTATATCGGCTTCCACGACGACACACTCGTAGCTCAAGATCACTATCAGATAAAGTATTATAATTCCTGTGGAACCATGGGAGAGCCTCTGATTCACAACAAGGAGATTCAAGTGAAAGACAATCTTTACCATCCCACAATGGATCAGGGTAAAATGTAGTCTTATCATTTTGTGTTGAGTTATTACCTGATTCACAATAGTAGTGATCACCAACAAACTCTGGTACACTAACAGTAGCTTCAGTGTTACAAGGACAATTTGATCTTGAATTAGCAATTGATCTTTGTCCAGCTATAAAAGACCAGACATGTTCACGAGGAGCAGACCCACGTGTGATACTCACACCATCGAGATAATAAGAATCAATGCCATCCATATTATTACTGTTGCGTAAAGCATCAGTATTACCTTTTTGGTATCCAATCACTCTGCCACAAATCTGAGTGTATGCAATATCATCTGCTGTAAGATTCACACTAGTGCAACCAGTTTCAGGTATACGTCTCCTACAAGCCCTAATGCCTATGCCTTCATTTTGTGTATTTTCAAAATCAGAAGGGCAATCCTGTGTGGGATCAGACATATTGAGATAACCCAATCTTGTCCATCCTCCTTTCTCCCCACACAGCTCCCCCATATTGCAGTAAATACTTTGATCAGTATTTAAATGATAGTAACCTGAAGGACTGTTGGGCAGTATGTGATTGATGTCATGACATGATTCTAGATCTAAAGTTAGAGCCAAAAGTTGGTTTGCTGCAAGCAATATGTCATCTACAGTTGAATCAGACTCAGTAGTAGATGTAATTATTTTGCGTAGAATAATTGCTGTGTTTTCATCATGCTGTGCAATGTGATCTAATAAATGATCTATTTTATTCTGGAGAAGAGACAAGTTACTGCCAAAACCACCATTGCCTGCAAAGCCAGCACCACTAACTGTATTGCTTGTACCTGATGCACACGAATCTTTTGTCACCAAATAAAGCAACATCACAAATATACTTACCAACAGTAGCAGCATGAGTACCAGTATGGCAGTATGTGATACCTTTCCTATCACATTCCACTGGTAAGGAGACTGTTGAGGTTTAGTAATATCATTAACTCTGGGACCGTACTGATCATTATTGTTAGGTCTAGCGATGTCATCATAGAATCGAGTTGATGCAAATACTGTTTCCTGTTGATCCCCAGCCTTCAATAGTTGCTGTGATGAATGGCCTGATTGTGCAAGGTGAGAATAATCACTGAGCTGAGAATATGTTGTCTCTTGAGGAGTTTCGTGGCCATTTCCAGTATATTCAGAAGACAGCTGTAGGCTTTCTTTGCTTGGTGAGAGCTTTACTGGATCTGCTGTATTGTGACTCTCAGCTCGATGAAATAGTGGAGCTACTGTGTGATCATTTTGACATCTTGTTGGAGTACAGTTGATGTTATCCATCAGTGGACAGTGA